TGTTTTCAATTCCACATATAAGTGAGATCATTTGTCTTTCTTTGCCTAACTTATTTAACTTAGCATAATGCCTTCAAGGTTCATACATGTCACAAGTGGCATGATTTCATTTTTTTTTCCTGAATAATATTCCATTGTTTCTATTATTTTCTTGTCTAATTGTCTGGGCTAGAACCCTCAGTATAATGTTGAATACAGTGGCGAGAGCAAACAAACATCTTTGTCCAGTTTGTGATTAGGGTGAAAGCTTCCAATAACATCACTAAGTATGCTGTTAGCTGTGGGTTTTTCACAGATGTTCTTTATCAAGTTGAGGAAATTTCTTTCTGATCCTACTTTGTTAAGTGTGTGGATGTTGGGTTTTTAAAATGCTTTTCTTTTTGGTATTTATTGAGATAATCATTGGTTTTGTCCTTTATCAATATGGTATATTAGATTGATTTTTGTATGTTGAATCAAACTTTCACTTTGGGGATAAATCCCACTTGGTTGTGGCGTATAATTTTTAGAAGGTGCCAGATTATTTTGTTGAGGATTTCTGCATCTATATTAATAAGGGGTATTGACTGGGTTTTCTTTTCTTGAGATGTCTTTGTGTGGTTTTTGTAATAGGGTAATACTGGTAGTATAGGCTAAAAATGTTCTTTTGACTTGTCTTTTGTGGGAGCATTTGTGAAGGATTGGTATTGATTTCTTTTTAAGCATTTGATAGAACTCATGAGTGAAGCCATCTGGTCCTGAGATTTCTTGTGGCAAGTTTCTTGATTACTGACTCAATCTCTTCACTTGGTGTATTCAGGTTTTCTATTCCTTCATGAGTCAGTTTCAGCAGCTTGTGTCTTTCAAGGAACTAGTTCATTTCATGTAGTTTATCCAATTTGTTGGCATACAATTGCTCGTAATATTCTCTTATAATTCTTTTTGTTTCTCTAAGGTTGGTGGTACTCTTGCCTTTCACTCAGATTTTAGTAATTTGAGTATCCTTTTTTCCTTGGTCAGTCTAGTTTATCTTTTCAAAGAACTAACTTTTGATTTCCTTGATTTTCCCTGTTTACAGTCTCCATTTCACTTATTTCTCCTCTAATCTCTATTTCCTTCCTTCTGTTTGCTGTGGGTTTAGTTTGCTCTCCTTTTTCTAACTTCTTAAGATGGTAGGCTAGTACGTATTAAGTGGGTATTTATTTATTTTGTACTTTTTACTTTTTAAATCCTCACCCGAGGATATTTTTCCATTGATTTTTAGATAGTGTGGGAGAAGGGGAGAGAGAGAGATCAATGTGAGAGACACATCGAATGGTGGCCTCCTGCACCACTCCAATCCCGACCAAGGCTGGGGATCGAATCTGCACCTGAGGTACGTGCCCTTGACTGAGCATCAAACCCGAGACTCTTTGGTCAGCGGGCTGGCGCTCTAACAGCTGAGCCAAACCAGCTAGGGCTATTTTCTACTTTTTTTTCTTTATTGATTTTTAGTGAGAGAGAGGAAGGGAGAGGGAGAGAGAGAATCATTGATGAAAGAGTATCGATTGGCCGCCTCCTGTATGCCCCCACTGGGGATTGAGCCCACAACTTGGGCATGTGCCCTAACCGGGAATCGAACCGGCGACTTCTTCGTGCATGGGTTGACGCTCAACCACTGAGCCACACCGGCCAGGCTATTTTCTACTTTTTAAAAATAGGTGTTCTCTTATATAATTTATTGTTTGCTTGTTTTTTAAATCTTCATTCATCTTTGTTTACTAATTTCTCTTGTAAAGGTATCTTTTTTACTGTTCAAAAATGTGTTTCATTTCCACATATTATTTAACTTTCTAAATTTCTTGCAGTTGAAGGACATATTTTGTATGATTTAAATCTTTTAAGTCACTGAGACTTGTTTTATTGCCTAAAATATGGTCAATATTGGGAAATGTTCATGTGCACTTGAGAAGCGTAAGCATTCTGCTGTTGGGTGTGTGTTAGGTCTACATGGATGATAGTGCTGTTTAAGTGTACCATTTCCTTGTAGATCTGGTGTCTAGTTGTTTTTTCCCCAGAATGTTCCATATAGATTATATTTATATCTCCAAGTTTTAGAATACAATGTACAATTTAGCAAAATAGGAATTAATGTTAAAACTCATTAGGCTTTATCATTTATCTTTTACAAATGCGTGTATTAATTCATTACTCACCTAAGGACATATCTTTAAAATCATAAAGTTGGTTTTGAAATACTGAATTTTTTTTACCACACCAAAAAAAGTAACTTCTAAACCAATGTTCACATTATCCAATGCCATTTTCACCAAAGCAGATATTTATCTGTGTCTTCAGAGACACTGTCGGAATGTCACCCATTGGCCAGGAAGGAGTTCCCGGAATATAGTGAGCCCTTCCCCTGTGACCAAGCAGTGAGGGTGTTTATTTCTAAATGTTACTATTAAGAGCTTCGTGGACTGGTTCAGCTCCTACAGATGCAGAAATAGTTTGTAGATTGTCAAAATTCTGATAAATTCAGCCTCCACTTGAAAAAAAGTACTAAATCCTGAGCTGCCAAGTAGCTCAAACCACCCACTTTGCCCAACTGTCCCACTTCCGCGACAGAACCTCTGGCCAGATCAGAACAGACTGGGTTTTCCAGGCCACCCTCTTGCCCACCCCCAGTGCCAGGCAGACAAGTCAGGCTTCTAGCCCTGGTCAAATACCCTAGATACTTGGATCTCAGTGCAGAGGTTGTGATTTAATTGGTTTCGTGTGCAGCATGAGGGTTTTTAAGCAATCCAGGTGACCCTAATGTGCAACGTTTGACAACCATTGCTCTACACTTCCCATAGTCAGGTTCTGCCTCAATCTGATTTTGGCAAGTAAAGTCAAGTTGTTGAGGAAGGCAGGCACACAGAGCAGTGGAGTGTGAAGAGTAGTAGCTACTGCTGAACGCCAGACCACTTCCAAGGCTGTAGCTGAGGTCACCTGCCCTCCCTGGACCCGTTTCTTCACCTGTAAGCAGGGATGTGCAATGTCGCAGATCCTACCTCCCACACTCGTTCTGGGATTTACACAGGGCCTAAGCTTCCTCCGAGGACTGTTGCCACCTGCCTGGAGTCTCTGCCTTCTTGTGGAGGCAGGGCTCCCCGTCATGATCTGGAGGCCATCGGAGTGCACTTTAGGACAGGAGGGCATGGGCTGGGGGATACTGGTTATAAGATAGAAAGGTCAGTGAAGAGGCCACCAGATGGGCTGGTTGGCCTGGAATTTGGGGTAAGCAGATGAGACTTAGCTTCCTGAGGGCTGTGACAAACAGGGCCCACAGAGCCACGTCCCGGGCTGGGCCTTTCATGTCACCATTTGGTAGGTACCAATTCAACCGCAATATATACATTTCCCTGCTCCTAGTGGTGTGACATTTGTTCACACTAGTGTTAAGTGAAGAGGTCATATGGGAGGGTTGGAGCCTGTGATGTGGCCACAGGGGAGCTGGTCAAGAAGGCTGGCCCCTGACCCTATGGGCTCCTGCTTTACCTGGACTAAGTGGACCCTTATTGACCAAGTAACAGGGGCCGAGGAGCCGTGTGAGCGGCCGAGCCAGGCGCTCTCCCTGCACTTCTCTTCATTTACATCGTGGGCATGGACTTCCCTCAAAGATCTGAAAGTTTGGGTTCTTTTGATTTCTTTAGTTTTCTTGCTAGGGATGTCAGAAACTAAGCTACCAAAAGATTTCTTTGACAGCTCTCATTTTATAAAGTGATTATATGTAATTAAGAAATGTTACATCAATATCCTAAAAAAAAAAAAATCACATGAGCTAGCAATGGTTAGAATAGCACTGGCACTTACCTAGGTTTAAGTGCCAGCCAGTTACTATCATCACAGCTGAGGAATCAAGGCCAAGAAAGGGATGGCCCTGGTCAAAGCCCTGAGCAGGCAGGGTTTTCTCTATTTCGAGGGCCTGAGCAGTGTTTCACCCCAGGGGCTGGGAGGTACTAGGGGAAAGGACTTGATAAACAGGACAGTATGTTTTTTGTGTGCATATCCTTTTAAAAGCATATAATGGGTGTTTTTGACATGTCTCACCTAAGAATTTAGAAGTATTTCATTTCTTTTCCACAGCTCTGTGGTTGTGGTATAATTATTTAACACAAACCCTATTTAGGACCAAGTACGCTGTTCCTAACTTTCCACTATTAGGAACAATCCTGAGATGAATTTAATTGATATGTATTTTTATTCTAATTTCTGGCAAGAATTGCTTCATTAAGATGAATCCTTACAAATAGGGAGTTACTAGGTCTAGGTTTTTAATACTTATTTTGACAGTAACTAACAAATTCTCTTCTAAAGTTCAACTAACTTCTACCAACATAAAAGGCTGCATATTCTGTCACTCTCACCAAGACTGAGCACGAACATACTGACTTAGTTCCCTACTTGCAAATCCTGAAACACAGACATTACAGGGCAGTTTCCAGAATAGAGGTTTTGCCATATTGAACTGGGTTGAAAGGCTGGTCCTACCTCTGACCAGTTACCCACACGACCCTGGGGCAAGTGTTTCATACCTCAGGTTCTTTCTCTATAAAACAGGAATGAAAATATCTATGTTGTAGGTTTGGGTAGAAGAGGCGTAATAAGTTACAACTCTCCATACACAGATAAAATGAACCTCTTAAATTATCTTAATACTAATTCAAAGATTTAAGTCACAGCTTATACGGGATATGATACAATTAAAAATAGGCAGAACTAGATAATATATATTAGAAATCTGCCTCTTTATAAAAAAAACATCAGGATGAGTGACACAAAATTCAGAAAACGAAAGCGGTAACCTGAGGAGGAGCAAGGTGGATGTGACCTGAGAGGACACTGGTTGTCTAGTTCCTCCCTGGGTGTGGTTACACAGTGGTTCGTTATCTTTATAGTGTACAAACGTCTTGTTCTCATACGGATATTTCACAAAAAAGATTACACATTCCATGAGAAACTTCAGAAATGAAGAATTATCAAAGAAACATTTCACATGTGTTAAGAAATATTAGTTTTATTTAACCAGTTTCACAGCTGAATATTTATTCTATAAAAACTTTACAGATTGTACAGTTTATATATATTTCAAACTACTGAACGAAAAAGTAGGTCCCACAGATGCAAAAATACTGCACCAACCAATCCAAGGTAAAGGCAGATTTACACACTGTACAGCTCTCCCCGCAGCCAGGAGGCCGTCGGTTCTAGTATAAACTTTAAAACTGTACAAAAATAAGGTTTTGATTTTATCTCCCTCTTCATACATTCAATATGATTGCAAGCTCAGAAGCCTAGCTAAGAATAGGCATCTGTGATCAGGATCAGCCCCACTCCTGAAAGGAGTGTGGATGTCTGTCTGCGCAGGGCACTCTTGGGTACCACACTGTACTCAGTGTGTTGTGTAGACATGAAAGCAGAGACCAAGAACATTAAATGTCGAATATAAGGTAGTTTTTTTTTTAAAAAGGATTTCTGCATTTAATAGTGTGCCAAAAGAATTTTAACTTATTAAATAAAATATATTCTAAGTGAACCTAAAAAATACTTTATAAACATAAAAATACTTTTTTTTTGGTGTAATATATCAATCATATCTGCAAATAGAAAACCAAAATTGTATATAAAGTAGTATTTCTCACCCAGCAACAAGAAGCATTGTAGTTATTTTTCAAAAGGGTCATTCAGAGACACTATTTAAATCCCACTAAGACTAACTTATAACTTAGACATCATACTTAAGCTATTCAGTGATTCGCTAGTACTGCAAAACAAGCCTTCTTCTAGAGACAGTGGTTTCTTCATGTTAACTGGGTGAGAACTGGACATATTAAAGAAGAAGAAAAAAGCTATTGATTTTTTTCAGCACAAATCCAAAGCATACTTTAGTTTGGGGGCATGTTCATCAGTGGGTTTTTCATCAGAAATACCCTAAAAGATAATTGTTACTTTTGGACTTTTCATCTAAGCTATCTATACCTTCTTGGAGGCAAAAACACAGCTCAGATCTTTTATCTCTACTTGGGGCAGGGGAGGTAAGGCCACTAATGCCTCTTTAGAGTCTGTTTTAGAAAGAAAAAAATAAAGAAAACAAACATTATTTCAGACTTTTCTGCCACCCCAAACCAGCAAAACACACATTCTTTTTTATACAGTACAAGCCAAAGATAACAAGAATTAGAGCTTCAAAGAGCGGTCTAGAGCTCACCATTATACTTCCGTACTTGTGTGTATATTAAGTATAAAGTAATGATGTTTGGACAAAGGAGCTTTGTAGTTATTTATTTTAAAGTTACAGTACTTAGAAAAACTCCTTGATAATAAATAGCTTGGATGTTTCAAGTCCTGCTTCCAAGCGTAAGCTAAGAGTGAACTTGTTTCAGGCTGTGAGGATGGATTAGGGCACCCTGGAGCCACAGATGTCCTGCTGTACAATTCCAGTGTTGTCAGCAGGCAGCCTGCCAATCAAAACTCATCGATTTTCTTCTGCAAGTACTTCAACATGGAGTCCATCCCTTGGGCGGAGCCCCAGATTTTCTTCAGCACTTCACACTCCCTCTCATTGGCCTGCTCCAACTCCACCTTCATGTTACAGCGCACAAGGGCTTTGGATTCCTCGAGCACCTGGGCCAGACAACATGCAGTTAGTCCGCAGGGTGTGTGTCTAAGCACTGGCTCTACTTCACCCCCAAGTTTACGAAGGTAATTATCAAACTTCAGTAATGACCTATCAAAAAAAACTACCAGACATTTTTCATAGTATACATGACCTAACATATGTATAAAGTATATTTCACACCAGATATCAGACAAATTCTCAATGTCAAAATGGTGTGAAGCTATTTAGAAAGAGAGCTGTGCTGTCTGCACCCTGGCCCTTTGCCAACATCAAGACCAGCCTCAGCCATGCTGCTCGGCCAGTGTGGGCCCGCACTGCACACACCTTGACTCTGGAAAACTGAGAAGGCCGGCTGAGGGGATTTTCCAACCGAAACTTGATTTTAATAATGAGGGTTGTTCATGTATTTGGAATAGTTCAGAGCAGCAATTTTCAACCTTTTTCATCTCATGGCATACATAAACTAATCATTATTAAAATTTTGTGGCACAAACATATTTTTTGCTGATCTGACAAAAAAAAAGGTTTAATTTTGATTCATTCACACCGATGGCTATTGTTGTGTTGGCTGTTGTCATTTTTTATTTTGAGGGAAAAGAGAGGTCAAGGCTGCTGACTAAATTGTCAGCTATTGCATGGTTTAAAAATTCTTACGGCAGGCTGATTGAAAATTGCTGCTTAGAGGGAAGTTAATCAGTTAATATCGAATAACATTTCGCCTTATAATTTAGTGAGTGCAACTTTGTGAGTAGATTAAATATTATCCAGCACATTTACTAAACAAAACTCAGGTCCACTGTGTGTGTGTGGGGTGGGTGATTACAGTCGTCCCTTGCCACTTGGCGCTTCGACTTTCGCGGGTCCCCTCTGTCACGTCTCCCCAGTACTAGACTGATCTGAACAAGCCGCGACAGAGGGAGGCCGCGGGAGTCGAAGCAGAAGTGGCCACTGTGTGTCAATAAAGAACCCTACTTCGCGGAAATTCAATTATCGTGGTAGAGTCTGGAACTGATTAACCGCGATAAATGAGGGCCAACTGTATATAAAAGGGCTTTGAAAACAGTGAAGAACTATATAAATGTTGTCTTTCCTCGACTTTCATAGGGCACTTTTTAAAAAACATCCTCACCTGTGGACATGCTTATTGATCTTAGAGTGGGGAAAGGGGAGGGAGGAAGAGAGAGAAGGAGAAAACATGGATCGCCTCCCGTATGCACCCTGACCGGAAATTGAACCCGAAACTTCCCAGGGTATGGGACGACCACTGAGCCACACTGGCCCAGGGTTACAGGGCATTTCTGAGTCATTAAATCTGAGACCGAAATGCTTTCCTTTAACTCTGAGGCACTTGCAAAGGGAGGGCAGGGTGAGCAGCTCTGAAGCAGTGACACCCAGCAGGCTCCCATTAGTAACCCCATGAAGCGGCTGTGTGGGGAGCAAATGTGGAAGACTCAGGAAACACTGAAAAGTGTGAGTTCTCTGGAGGAAAAGATCATGGTAAAAAAGTCACACATAGAAGAGAATGAATTTGACATACAACTGGATTACACGAGGCAAGCTCCTTAATTCGAACCATGACTTCTTGGGTGAAGGTCCCGGGCCAGAACACCTGGGAGACCAGGCCTTTGCCGCATGCCTCCTGTGCTGTCAGCTTCCGGCCACTGAGCAACATTTCATTTGCCTGAAAGGAAGAAGGTTGATACTGATATGAAATGTGAGGGGAAGGCAGGCAGACGACCTAACCTAAAAATTTATCCCTTAACAATTCAAATTGAGGATGAGCATTTGAATGTGCCAGCTTTGGCAAGAACTCCCTGCATACCCTCCAGGGTTGCACCCAAAGTGTACCTTTCTGGACCCTATGCACTGAGAATAAACCTGGCAAGGCGCAGGATGGGAAATAACATCCCAGCTGTGAGTTAAAAAGAAAAAGAACGTAAAAGGCTTATTTTACGGTATACTACAGGATCAAATAGACTTAACCAAGACATCTAAATCAGAAATCATTTGTTAGTCTGAACTCACTGGCCCCTCTCCACCTGCCTTCTCCTCCCAATGTGTGAACTCATTTAATACGTAAAATAGTTACCTGGGAAAATGAGGCATACAGAAAGCTAGGAAATTTGCAGTTTTAGGGATGTGAGCCAGCCACAGAACTACTACACAATGTAGGATTACAGAGACATGTGCTCAGGGTGGTAGATGTCCTGCTGGAGTATAACTTGGGAGGCAACTATCCAGGACCTAACGGTATCCCAAATCACCACTACTGTAGTCTGCCTACAGTTATTTCACATGACTCAATGGAAGAAGTTAACACTTGTTTTTTGTAAAATAAATAAATAAAATTTGTATGTATAAAAACAAATACACACATAAATATATATGAAATTGATTTTAACTTTGTCCTGGATTCTACAGAACTTTTAAGGTCTCAACACACTGTACGTGGATTTTATATCATCCTAATGACATGCTCACAGATGCTGAAATAAGGAGTAAAGGGAAGAATATATATCTGACAAAGAAACTCTGCACTATTCTAATGTAGTAATTTCTTATCCTGCTTGGTTAACCTTCCTGAAGATTCTGGTGGTCATAAAGAAGCTTCTGGGCTCAGGTAAACGCACTTTTGGTATGCAACTTTCTTTTCCAAAAGTGAACATCATTGCTATGAAAAGGCCTTAAAGTATTAAGCATCTCTCTGAGTTGACAGTACCTGTGCACTTCTGGTAAATGCATCCAGATGGCCAATGGCATATAAAATGTACAGCTTAGAGTTGGCAAAGCAAGTGTCTAGCTGATTCACCACCCTGTTTCAACATAGGCAGAGATGGAAAACAGGATGTAGAATAGGGTCTTCACTTAGACTCACTTTAGTCCCCAAGTGGAGGCTGTTATTTGAGTAAGTCTTGGACAAAATCATGAGTGTTTAGAGTTTGGAGATGTTCTACAAAACCCCTAAACAGAACAGCCTCTTCTCAGTGAAAAGGTTTGAAATAAACAATGGATTTGAAAATCTGACTTAACCTTACTGTTAGCTGTTAAGACAGTTCTTCTAAAGGCACATCCAACACAGTGAGAAAGGGTGAGAGGAGCTCCTGATGAAATGACTTAGTGGGAGGTGCTCTATGGTGACAGAGATTTTTCACTTCCTTGTTTACATTTCTTTTACTCTCAACATACAATAAAGACAACACCACAATTAAATCACTTGATTATGTGTGAAGTATGTTCTCAAGACAATCTTGAACTGCAGCGTCTCAGTTTGGGTAGCAAACACAAACGACTTCACCAGGCCCCGAGTGCCCACCAGGAGTGGGCAGTGATGAAGAGCGAGAACCCTTTCTGTATTTCTTCTCCAGTGCCTCTATAGGGCCCCTTTGCTCTCCCTGGCAACTTCTTTGAATGTTTTTGTTTTGTTTTGTTTTTTGCTATCTGGAGGTCAATGTAGAGCCCTATCACTGTTCTCTTGTCTCCTGGTCTTTCATTCCCTTTTCTTGATTTTCTCAGGCCTGATGCCAGCCAGCTGGCGCCAACAGCCAATCAGAACCACCCTCTCCTCTAGTCAGCGAGCAGTCCTGGCTGCCCACCCTTCTTCCTTTCAGAACCCAGCTAACTCTGCACCAGCTGTCACTGGAGATTCTTTCCCTACTTAGTGTTCTACAGCCCAGATGGCTGGATGTGCAGGACATTTCTGAATTTACCTAAAGGACTGAATGGTGGGACTAACTCAAGGTGGCTAATGCTTTCTCACCCAAGTATAGGCAGTGTATTGGTTTTAAATACACTTATCAAGTAAAACCATAAGGAAAAATTCCCTTGGTAAGAATAGAATTAAATACATTCAAGTTGAATGGATATGATCTCATATACTCAATTTCCAGTAGTTTTAAAACTATCCAATGTGATCAAGATTGTCCAACTGTTTTAAAAACGTTATAGTGTAACTATGCGGACGAATGATAAATGCGGAAGAGAAGTTCAGCCAAGAGACCGCATTAGCAAGTATGGTGAGGAAACCTGACTGGCTTCGTGGGAGGACAGGAAGCTGTGAATCTCAAGGAGGCACAGCTTGGCAGTGGCTCTGCCACTTACTCCCTGGGACCGGTGTCTAAACTCCCCAGAGGGCAGCTCCCCACAGTAAGCTGAGGGTAAGAATCTCAGGACCCAGAGCTGCCAGCTTTACAAATGGGAGTCTGTGTTTGTCAGCTTTGTGCTTCCCTCAACTGAGGCTCCTTCAGCTGTCAATCACAGCACCTAACAGTTTCCTGAGTATAAAGGCTCACGGGTGGTCCTTGAGACAGGACAGTGACTTTGCAGTGTCTGGCTCAAAGTGGACACCCCATGAGTGTTCACTGGGCACAAGGAGGACTCAGCTGTGGAAGATTCTACTCCAAGGCTAATTTACATAGCTTGTGACACAGCTGGGCTCCAAGATCTCTCTCCCTGCAGCAGACTCTAGAAGAAAAGGATAGCTTTCCCAGCTTGTTTGACATGCATGTTCTTTTTCTCCTGATATGACCCCTTCAGCTTGTCCTCCTGCAGAGTTCTGCACATAACATGTGGGGAAAACCAAACTTGTTCTCGGCTTGCCTTAGGCTCCTGAAGCTCACATACACTGAAGAGCTCATGAAAGGAACCGTATCAGTCACTTTTAATAAGTCGTCACAACGCAAGTCACCTCAACAATGTTGACTCATGTTTTGTATAGAGGTTTTAGCTAGATACCGTAACCAAAACCTGCAGAATTTACATTGTGCAATGCTGAGGCTCTTTGCTCTGGCCTTAGAGCAGGGTTTCTCAACCTGGGTACTGAAGATACTCTGGCCGGATCAAGACACTTTATGGGGAGGGCTTTCTGTGAGTTGTAGCATTTCCTCTGTTGTGACACCAAGTCTCTAGACATTGCCACAGGCACTCTAGGGATGAAGGATGGGGTTGAGAACTGCTGCTCAGGTAGCACTGGGAGGTCACAAGGAGAAGCAGAAAGTAATGATTTTTCAAGACTTGTCCAGAGGAGTCAAAGATGAATAAGTGAAAAGTAGGCTTTCATTCTGTAATATCTTCAAGCTATTTATGGATCTTTCTGAGCACAGTGGACTCTAAGCCCTCCACCCCTTAGCAGAATTTGGCCCAAGGGCCCCACTTCCAAACTGCCTTTGCCTAAAACGTGTTTAAATGTCAAGTTTGTTTAATACTTTTCCCAGAGCTGCCCTTCCTGTTAACTGCATCACCACCACATATCTACTTAGATCATCATACAGTGAGAGGACAGAAGCCCCGTTATTTCAGTCTCCTCTGAGCATAAAATGATTTTACTGATGATAATGATTCTTTCAGAACAGGTAGTAACTGTCAGGAAACAACCTATTTTACAGTAATAACTTAAAGTAGTTTTCTTGATAATGACTCTAACACCAGCTTCAGTAACTGTTAGGGGGTGCAGAGCAGGGAAAATGACAAGACAGACAATCTAGACACATCCTATTAAAAATGGAGACTTTGGGGTGAGCACAGATAGCTACCCAGAGCTGCTGGCCCAGGAAATACTTGCTACACAGCTGCCAGGAGTACTGTCAGCAGGCAACTCCTGGTGAGAGCTCCCCAGCAGCCTCTCTCATGGACAGCCCTTCTTGGGGCTGCTGCAACCAATGGCTGGGTGCAGTGAGGGCACCTGGGACAACTGTGATGGCCACATCCGCCCCAGAGCCTCCGTGGGCTCAGCTAAGGCTTCATCAGAGCTGCACCACAGCTCACCTTCGCCCTCTACCCAATCCTGCTTCCTCTCTGCCTGCTACAGAGGTTGACACCTAATCCATGTCCTGCCATAATCACCTAAACTCTGCTTCTACAGAAACTACCTTGTGACAAGTGGGAGTGGAAACAGTGATGAAAAGGATTCATTGCTCCCTAGCTGGCTGGCAATGAAGACCTTCTTGGACTAGATGAAGCACCCACAGCATCCCATACAGGTGGCGGCCCAAGTGCTAAAATTCTCATAGGTGATGGGATAGTAACTGTATCATTTGGGCAGTCACTGACACAAGCAGAGGGGTTTCTGGGTAGCAAGATGGCAGAGTGGTGACCCACACCCAGACCCAGGACTTAGTAGTCAAGAGTGGCTGAGCTTGAGACGAGGCTAATCACCCACATACAAAAGGTCTGTTTGGCTGTGTGAAGTGGGAAGAGGGAGGATCAACTTGATATGGGGACTTCCGGGTGGATGCCCCCAAACTCTGAACTCAACTTCTCCGACCTTGAAAAAATGGCCCATTCATACCCATTAAGAACAAGTGTTGCCCCCTTGCTTGAAGACAATGCAGAAATCTCTCTCTATAAGACACTATCACTTCCTATAAACCCTGCCCATTTCCTCTTGGCTCTCAGGCCTGTAACTCACCTCCTCCCCCTGAAGAGTTGCATGACACAGCCAGAAAGTGCTGGTGGAGCTGGGGGAAGACAGGGGGCAAACACCAAGCTGGACAGAGGAGTTCACTGATTCGGGAGTTCTTGTGAACAGTAAGATTTAACATGCTGGCAAGTGCCCTAGGAGATGGTGTGGTCTTGCTACTGGGATGGCTTCTAGAAGCATGAAGAAAGTACTAATGGGCCAGGCTAAGTGAAGCTGAAATGCCAGAGCCACTGTGGCCGATGGTGGGGAAGGTAGGACAAGACGCC